CGAAGTTGCCTTGGTACGGACAGTACTCCGGGCAGGTGGCAGGGATAGCTGGCCATCCGCCCTTGCTGGACACCCAGCCCCGAAGCAAGGGATAGTTGATAGGAACCCGATAAAAGCTGGCAGAACACACGTATACGACAACGATCAATCAACCCATCTCATCTCCAGATCACCGATATTCATCAAATCACTGTGTGAATCTGACAATTACCTAGCATCCATACTATATTTATACGTTCCCATAGGTACTTAATATATTCCTAGGTAGATAAGCACTACTACCTTTCTAAGATATTATGGTCCATCTCCACCTATATATACTATAGTGGGTTTTCCACTATGCCTTATCATTCCTTAGCCTAATTATAGGTTCCATGAGCATTAAGCCTAGTAATCTTAACTATATCTGCTCAGGTTAAGCAAAGCATTCGTTTGGGATCCGGGAGCACTCAGAGGCATATAGGAGTGCGTAATGGCTCATATGGGTCACGAGTTTCCGTTGGTCCCGGCCCTAGGCTAATTTATAGGTAATAGCAACGTGTAACTCGTTGCATTTAGTTGTCCTTAAGATATAATTGTTGAAGTGTAATAGGGGTTGCTTGGCTTTAGGCTAAGCTAACCTTAAAGGGTTTCTAGTGGGAAATGAGGGCTTAGGTAGAGGTATAGCCGCGTTGGGTTGATGCGTTAATAAACTACTATGGTAGGGTTGTGCTACCAAAACGTTATGAATAATCTTCCGTGAGGAAACTAGATGCTGTGAGGTCTAGCTATAGGCAATAGTATTTGCTTCACGCTAGGATTGATAGTGAAAGGATGACTTGATGGCATTGAGTGAATAATACTTGACTTCCCTGAAGCCGGTGTGCGGCGCGGGGTATACGCAGCCGACTCGCTTGGCACGCTAGGACTCTATCAGGCCTTAGCGCCATATGCCACAACACCATAACGAACTTCGCGATCTGCTCGTTACAGATGCAGTAAACTGTATCGTGGATTGACAATGATGGCTTACCATGGTAATCCATCACCTCTATATACTGCTATCTGATGTGGCTCTGTGGATCTGTTCCGACAGATCCACAGATCCAATCACGTGGCCTTGTCACGTGGCCATATTATGCTCAGCATCTGACCCGTAATCGTAATTACCTTCCCATTGGTCATCGCTGCTGACACTGTCATTATCGTAATTCAGTTGCGGCGCGGTCGCCGTAACTATAAATATCTTATGCTATATAGTAATTGAATATAATAAATATTAAGAGAAGACTAACAGTATGGCCTGGTTCGTAGGTGAGAGCGACGTGTAACTCGTCATAAGTAGGGCCGCTTCTGCACACATTCTTTGAATATAAACAGAGTGATTCGCGACATCCACTTATCGCAGCATTAGACCGCAGCATCAGGGCTAATGTGGTGCCGTTTTGGCAGTTGTTACCTGTGATCTCGTATCCTATAGTACGAGCCCAACGGTTGAGTTTTTGGCGTTCATGAAAAATGAATCCATAGACACCTGCTTGTGATAGGACCCGAAGCTTCCACTAATGGTTACTATGGTGGATGGTGTATGCTGTACGTTATGAGCTCCCCAAATTGCAACATGAGGCTACCCTACCCCTTCATCGTTGATCTGATCTGAATCGATTCAAGGCCATCTACGAAGGTTAAATTACTGTTGCAAATCTGATCCATGCATGTGTTTCATGGTGGGCACCAATTTATTGATCATATGCTGGTCTTCATACTATCTGGGCTCTGTATTGTTCCATGCAAGTTCCTGTGGAATCTTTAGGCTCCATGCCGGCGAGGAGTGAAAACGTCAAAGGAAGGAGCTGAATTTACTCTCACAGCCGGCACAATTTACAATCGCGGATAACTGATTTGTGCTCTCGCGACTACTTAATGCACTGCCCGCTGTCCTATGACCGAAATTCGAGGCCCTGAGCTATTTAGCACACTGTGTGCAGAATTGATGTGTATTCGTCAGCCGGATATGTCTGGATATTTCGTTGGTATGCCGTGATAGAACATGTAGATCATCATGCGACTGTTCAGAACACGACGGTTGGATGCTATATATATTCGGGATGAAATGTACATAAATCCTTCCTAAAGTGATGCCTCCCCTCAAATGGACGAGAGAATGGAAGTTCCATGGTCGTGATTCCAAATGCATGAGAAGCAATTTAGGCAGCACCCTAGTTCTTCAAACCACCAACATATCTGAGGGGAGCATATGTGGCCGCCACCTTCGGGTCAGCCTCAGCATCCTTCTTCTTCAAACCTCCAGTGTAATACAGAGGGGCGTAAGTAGCTGCCGCCTTAGGGTCAGCCTCAGCTTCAGCATCCTTCTTCTTCAAACCCCCAGTGTAATACAGAGG